AATTACTTCTCATATTACCTATTATTTTTCTTTTTTTTTCACAAATATATAAATAGCAAGGATATTCATTGGTTGCTACTAAACAGGTATGCATCCATTCTGTTACTTAGTTACGGATACTACGACAACAGCAAATATTCATTTCCATTATTCCTAACAAATGTTTCATCTTCTACTAACTGGCTAAATAGATTTTTTTTTTCATTATTTGTTGGAAATTTTAAAATGCTATTGTAATTCATATTTGAAAAAAAAAGTGAGAGTTTGAATTAGCAACATTTTTTTTTTCCAGGTTTGATGCATTCATAGATTTATACGATGAATTCTGATATTTGAAAATTTCAAAATTTCATTTCCTTTTCATTATTTCTTTGCTGCTCTATGAAATTTTTATAAAATTTCAATTGCAATACATATATACATATACAGAGATGAAGAAGAGTGGCAAACAGCAATATTTCTCACTGTAATTCGTGCATCCATTTTCGGCTAATTCATTGCAATGCTTTGAAAAAAAGAAAAAAAAAAGGAAAAAAAGGCCAACTCGTAAACTAGTATTTATTTTTTTCCCCTCTATCCTTCACTCCCTCTCTCACTCTTTTTTTTTTCTTCTTCTTTCCGTATTTTTCTTTTCTTCATCACTTCCAAAATTATTCTCTGAAATTTAACAAATGGCTTGTACTTTACAATCACTACGAATTGGCCGTACATTTGATTCTGATTATCCACAAAATCAAAAGGCTTTATCGGATGATACAAGCCTATCAATAGCTGTAATCGGACAGGTGGACGAATTAAAGATTACACCTGAAGAAACATGCCCGAAGAAGAGTGTTATGTTAGCTTATAAACTTTACAAATATCGCGATAAATTGGTGAGTTTGATCGATGGTTCCAGAGGACAATACAGGGTATGTATCATTCCTTTTTCCATTATCATATCCGTCAATTGCTATTTGTTTACAAAATTCCATATTATTTGTTTTTTTAAAAAATAAGTTGTAAGTTGTACAAGTTTTTTTTAAATGAGCTAAAGAAATTTTTTAAAATGGACTGTATAAATTTTGATTCTATTCTTTAGATTCAAAATTTTGGAATCAATAAATGCAGAAAAAAAGTTATGTGTAAAAATTTCAGTATAATTTCATTTTTTTAAGTTCTCCTTATATGTGTGTGTTTTTAGATTGAAATCTTTATTTTGATTTTTTTTCATAGCTAAAACTAATTAACCAGTGATCAAGAAATTAAAATTTTCCTTTTTATTTGAGGATTTCTCTTTTAAATTATTTCATTCATTCCAAATGAGGTATGCATTATGATTACGCATAATCATAATATTTTGATTATACATAATCGTAACCATAATATTTTTTGAGTAGTATTTATTGTCTGTTCACTTCGAAAGAATGTTTTTGAAATAATTCATTGCATTTTATTAATTTGAAATTTTTTCCTCTGTTCAAGTTTTTAATTTTTTTCTTCCATCTTAAATTAAGTGAAATTTTGTATTTCTGCGAGTTTTAGTAACTTCAAAATATTACAGCTTTTTTGGAACGAATCAATACTAATAATTTATCCTTTTCGTATATATTCTATTTCGAATGTCGGCATAATTTTGTTTTACTAACCCCTAATATACTGTATTATTTCTTTATTTTTTTTAAAATTTAATATCCCACTTCTTTTTTAGCAGAAAAACCTTTTGTTAGTCTTGAAACATTTATTTTTTTTCATGCACCTAAAAAGTATAATAAAAAATATATTTTTGTGGAAATTGCAAAGTTTATTTTGAATTTAAAATTTAAAATTAGTAATTTTTGCTATCAAATTAATGCATATTTTGAAATGAACTTTTCGATAAATTTATAGCATTTTTTTTTGGTAACATTAATTATTGACTGTATCAAATTATGCAAAAGAAATTTTGTTAATCCTTTTCTTACTTTATCCGTAGTTCGTTTAATTTATTTCACCTCTCTATTCAATTCAATTACTTCATTTATCATTCCTTAAATTGTAATTAGCAGATATTATTTACTGAAAGGTGTGGATGTATCGATAATTTCTTAATTAATTGCTCCTATGTCTCTTTGCAACCAATAAAGATATTTCATTCAGAGTTCAGCTGCTACTCTAATCAAACCAGTTTATGGCACGCTTTCTAAGCGTTTCGCTCAAAACTTTGATCGGGACTTGGTGGTAGATCATCCACGACCATAAAATCTCCACCTTTACCGATTAGCGTTCTTCAAAATCGATATCGCAATCCTTTCTGCATTGTTTAAAAATTTATATATTTAGTGTTTTCGTCTTTTGATAGTTCGACTTCTGGAAATAACTTTTTATACCCAACTACACTGGTAATAAATGAGTGCTTTTCGCTAAGCTGTTCAGTGTTGTTTGCAACAATTATTGTTGCAGTTGGCTGGTTTTTCAGTATCCATGATTGAATTGATCAAAATGATTGTTGTAAATATGCATTAATCCATTTTATTCATTCAAAAATCCTCTTTCATGAATGTAATTTTAAATGAAATTCGAAATTTTAAATAGAATATAAATGAGGTTAGAAATGAAACAAATCAAAAATATGACCATCTGCGATAGCAAAATGACCTCTTTTATTACTGGCTCATATGATGATGATGACCTTCATTTATAGGATTTTTGATGTTTGGGCTACGGTAACATCTGTCTCGATTTGACCCCTTGCTGTTTTAAATGCTCGTTTGACAATAATGTCTAATGATATATGTGAAAGTTAAAAAGCAATAAATCACACACGCCTAAATGCCATACGCCTAAATCTATTGTATTCCTGTTTACTTGACCTATTTACTATCCTTTTTATTTGATTCATAGATCGATAATGACCAGTACAATATCTAAATTTATCTATTGAAAAAATTTTTAATTTTTTTATTTGAAAAATTAATTAGACATTTGTAAATGAAATATTTTAGCGTGTAAACGAGAGAATAAAACAAATGATTGTAAATGATTATTGATTGATAAAATTTTTTGTGTTTATTTATTGAGATTTTTCTTAAATGAAGAAGAATATTCTATAATTCAATTCATTCAAAATAATAACTTTTTCTAATCAAAAATGATTTCAGATTTTTTTGTAATAATTTGAATATT